CATGCTGGCTATACAGTCAAATCTGCTCAGGTGACCTTCTCCATTAAAAGACGACCTCGGTTAAGAGGCAACTTTAAATGTTCCTGATTGTAGTGATTTCAATGTGAATTAACCCTGTATTAGAAGACCACCTTCATTAAGAGACCGTTTTCAGGACTTACCCAGTAAGGGTCTCTTATATAATTAGTACAGGTTTGACGGTAAATGTACCCTAGCTATTCTGGGTCGAACAATTTGTGATTGTGTGTCTTTTGCAAAAAGATGAACTTTCCTTTTCCATTTAGTTTTGGTTAAGTGTGCTTAAATGAAAACACCTTCACTTTAAGGAATGTACATGTAACACACACACAAAGGACTGCATCTTTAAAATTCGGTAATAGTTCTAAGATTCAACTACTTTAACAATGTACATGTATTTAACGTTTATTATACACATAGCCAAGCTAGCTTAAAATACTATTTTCGAGCATTTACCGAAATGTCACTTGTTTAAACAATTTAGGGGATAACCCTACTGTATTTTGAAATTTGCGGCGGTGTTTCATGATTATACTGTCGCAAATTGAGTTTTACTTGCGACGCACAACGTACGTCAGTCGGGGTCACTGGTGTCATTAAAAATCACAATCCGGACATATGCAAATGAGAAATTTGCGGAGAGTATACCCGCCATTTTGATCGACCAATCAAATGAATTAGAATAAGTAATGTATCATTTCAACATTATTTAGTTCGTAGCAACTAATACATAAACAAAAATATCTATCATATTGTATAGTTTGGTGTGCGTCATGAGATTAGAACAATTAAAAGCCGAAGAAAACGTTCCCGCGGATTAACATTTTGCCATGGTATAGGAGTATAAAAACAGGTAAATATTTTCAGAAGTATAATGTAGTTTTCATTAGAAGTGGTGTCAGCGACGCAGTAAATAGTCAATAAACAACCACTAACATCGGGGAAAATAGAGACATAGAAAGTCGTTAAATAATTCGTAAACATTTCTATCATCATGAATATATCATTAAGTCATTCCTGTAACAGAATGTGATTTTCTACTACACGATTCACTTACCGTCGATGTAGAAAGTCATTAAAACGTTTGATTGGCATATTGGTCATTGTAAAGAGTTCGTTGAACTCGACGCCGAACGTGTCCCACAATTCCTCTTTGTACTTCTCCTTCAATGGCTGTTGTGGCGGAGGCAGAAACCCTCCTACAATATAATGGGTATATAACCATTAACTAGTCAGAGATTGTCACAGATACATAAGCAAAGGACTGGTATAGTCGTCACAGAAACCCCAAGCCCGAGTTTACTCCGGCCCTGACACCAGATTTAGACATTTTGACAGATAGATGTCTGGTGTGGGACATCTACAATGTATCTGTCAAAATGTCTAAGTCAGGGCCAGAGGAAACTCGCGCTAAGAAACTGCGTAAAAGTCTTAATATGCCAACAAGAGAAACCCCTACAACACTAACATAATATACCAACAACAGCAAATTAAAGGTCATCATGCCCTACGGCATCATCAATGAGTTAGTGACAATACCAACACAACCACATCTCATTTTAGGAGGGTCACCCATTACAACAATAGAACATAACCTTCGCTTCCACCTGCCATTCTCCTGGCTACAAAGTTCTTCTTCCCCTCTGCCATTCTCCTGGCTACAAAGCAATCAACAGTCCTTCTTCCCCTCTGCCATTCGCCCGTCGAATGACTTACCAATCCGAGTCATCTCCGCGGACTCACTAGCCATGTTTAAGTAGCCACTGCAGCACACTGCGACACTGTGTGCGGGGTACCCCTTATTAACTTTGTATATTGCCTCAGAGGTTTTACACTGTATTTGCCATATCTGCGACAATGCACCATAGGCGGTACTTAGATTATTGAGAGAAAAAGATTAGCAGAGTATTCAAAGAAATCCCACTACAATCTCACTATACTATGCGTATAAAGCAAAGTTGACTTCCCCTTGCCTTCGTAAAAAAGTCAGAGTTAAAAGCTTGCCACAAAAAACGTCATACAACAACATTTAAATGGCTCGAAATTAACAGAGTCGGCATACAAAATAACTTTGTATGACTTTGTACGATATTTGAGCATTTGAGTCGGCACAGAAACCGATGTATGTGAGGTATCTCATACCTAGTGGACTGTATCTGACGTTGTACTGTATCTGACTTATATATATATAGTCTGAAAATATATATAGTGTAGCCCTTGCAGGTTCAAGGAAAGAATAGGCCTGCTGTGTCCCACTGCATGATCGTAAGAGGCGACTAATGAGGGTCCCTACTGCAGGATCATGGTTGGCTTCTTCATGTGACCATGGCTGTTTCGAGGAAGTTAAACCCCAAACAAACGCACAGTGTACCGTGTGGAATGTATATTCATAATACATAGTGGATTGTATCTGAATTTAGTGAGGTAGAGGTTGTTACACCAAGTGGAATATATTTAGATGAGGAAGTAGTTCGGTATAATGTGACCGGGTAGAATGCTGTGCTGGGTGCATTTGACATGGTATCTCAGTGATATAGCACTTCAAAGTCGACATCAGATCTGCGCCATCACAGGGAGGCAAATACATACACACATGCACGCATACACAAGACACATGAAGTCAGTCCTTAAATGACATTAGCAGTGATAGGACGTCAAACCCTTGACAACCAGCCAACCAATGTACCTAGTGGATTGTAGACGAGGTCAAGTTTTAGTCCAGTGTCAGGTTTGCCGTAGCCCAGTTCGTTCAGTAAAATCAGGGCCTGGATACTTTTGTCAAACACCCCACTTCCTCTCTGTGTGTTCACATTCTTGGCGGAATAGCAAGGCAGTGATGCCACAATGTCGACCTGATGTTCGGCGAGGAACTGAGCGGTGTCTTCTTGACCTGCAATGCAATAGGACTCAAATGTATATAACAAATATTGTAACATTAAGGTCCCCACTAATATATGAAACTTAATTCCGAAAACTTTTATTTTGTTTAAGTTTGATCGAGTTAATGACCCTGACCCACTTTCAAGGCCACAGGATTGAAATTTGTTTAAACATTTACAAGACTTTTTTCGAGTTACCCAATATAAATAGGGTGATGATATTTGGCCAGAATCATACTATGATAAAGGGCTTAAATGTCTTTGACTCGTTTCATCGGCAACAATCTTCATTTTTTTAAACAAATTTAAAAGATTTCAACTGAATAACCAAAAGGCTTCAGATGATAATATAGAGGAACTGGTCTGGGTCGATAGTCGGCGACCAGGTAGCTCCATTAATAGAGCGTCCGTCTAGAGTTCGGAGTTTTCCGGGTTCGAACCCCGGTGTGGCCGTGCATTTTGTTCCTCTCCTATTGCAATTATACTTGGCAAATAGCGTAGAAAAATCCGAGAAGGCAAATTAACACGTCAAATTAATGACCTTGAACTGCTTTCAATGTCACATGGGTCAAACGTGCTATATCCTTTACAAAACGTCTTCTGATAAACCAAAAAGGTATAGGGGTATGTTTAATGCATTGGTGAAAAACCATAAGATTGTCCAAAAATATATTCTTGATCCTTTTCTCACAATATTTTAGTGAAAATTGGAGGAGCCGAGATGCATAAATATTTCGTCAAACATACGATACGAATAAAATACCTGGTTCCAGAAGTGACGTAAGATTACACCTGTCTATAACGGTCTTCCCTAGCTGCTTCCCTCCCTTGACAAGGTATCGGAACTCTTCACAAAGCTCCGGGGCGCCACCTACAGACAAATCAAAGTATCCATAATTAAAGCTTTCATATTGCAATTAATTTCCAAGTGGAATTTTGATTCACGTTTCGATTAGGGGATTAGCCATAACCTATCACTTCATTTAAATCGTGAAACATTGTCGAAAACTAGCTTTTTGCGGGAAAACAATGTTAAGAAACATAGCATAAAGTTTATATTTAGAGACTACATGTACGAAAAGTGGGTGATGTATTTAACATTTGAATGCATATTTCTAGGTGAAAAAAAATCGTTACGTACACAATTTGTCCTATACCTTGTACATAAATACATATATTTACATTCTGTATGCTTAGACCCATTGACAAAAATTACATTCATAAATGCATAACACAGGTGTTAATAGAATCTCAGCACGTGGGAACTGATAGTAACCTGATCACACTGCGTAGTAATACACTACAAAAACTACTCACTCGGAACGACCGACCTAGATGCTTAATTCTTACATCTTAAAATATTATTGAACTGTGCTTTGTGAAATATCCACGTATTCACGTGTCCTGTGCTACAAATAAACATTGAATATGGAACTACATTTTGTTGTGTTATTGTTGTTGACGGTTGCTAAGATCTCTCACGATAGNCCGATATCATTTATTGCGTTATATGTCTTTCTGAGTGACAGTCTACCTGAAAGATGTTAGAATTTAAATAATAAAATAGAATTCGCCAATTTCGCATTTTTGTGTTTTAGAAGTTTTTGCATGTTTTAAATAATTACCACCATTGTGAGTTCTTGGCGTTACCTTGGTTTGTAGCATATTTGTCGAGCACTTCAATTTACTTAACATGTTGGCCCAAACAGAGATTCTGTGGTTTTATCCGTCTATGGTCATAATAACCTTTATTGTGTTGGTTTGGCGTCGAATACAAACAAACAAACAAACATATGTTCAGATTTACACATTCAAATTAGGTGTACTTACCAGTGATGTCCAGCGTGTGGACAGATGGACTCTTGGCCATTATAGCTAGGATTTTGTCTGCGACTTCCCTGTTCATCATCTCCTTCCGTTTTGGTGAAGACTCCACGTGGCAATGATTGCATGCCTGGTTACAATACAGGCCGATGTTAGCTTGGACGATCTCTATAGAGTTTTTCTTCAGTACTGTTTCTTTGTCTTAATAACAACAAATATATAATTCAGGTTATAGAAATACGACACAAGGAACCTAAAATGATTTGGTTCGAAAATACGGCTCAAAATTAATGAGTCATTGATTTTACAGAGTCGATCGGTATGCAACCTAGTCTCGTTTAACCAGACTCTTGTTGTCTGCGAAAGCTATGCCTAACAGAGAAGTGATCAAGCGTATGGTTGAACGAGACTATATGAAACTACGTTGTAAGATACCTTGATTTTTTCTTTTTTAGTTTTGTTTAATGAATAAAGCATTAAGGATAATCTAAACCTTTGTTAGTGCTATAATAACTTTATGGGCCAATATTTATGGAACCGTTATCGTGCTCAAACTCCAGCTCTGTGTTCTAATCCCATTTTTGTGTTACCGTGATAAATAAATAAACTAGAAATTTGTCAGAATGACATGAAAGTCATCCCGTCATTTTGTATGATCATTTCCCGATAAATCATTGACCAAGTCGTTCATCACACCAGAATTGGGCTCTAACGACGTACAGATACAGAAGCTATAACGGATATATTTCCACCTGTCAATCAAAATGGTAAACAATGACCAGGTGTAAAAACATGCTTGATGTTCAGGTAACCATGCCAACACATGGAACTAATAAGAAAGCATGTCGCAAATATAACGTTAGTGTTGACTGACAACTCGAATACGGGGATATCTACGCGCTGACACGGTCACCTGGCATGGGCAGAACAGATAATTGGAATATAAGATGTTGTTTTCACAACAATAAGTTTCAGAAAAGATTCAATTTTATATACGGATAAATCTTGTATCTTTTTTTGTTATGAAGTACACTATTCCAGGTAGTTTTCTGATCGTCTGCAAATCCGACCTTATCGGTCATCGATATCGGCAGAGTGTGTAGAGCGTTTAAAGGGAGTCACTCAAACAGGTCTGAGGAGGACCACCAACAGCGTAATTCGCGAGACATGAAGAACACCAAACAATTGTGATTTCTGCAGTTCTCCTTTGGAAAGAAAAGATCGAAATGTATTTGTCTGTTTTGAACCCGTTAAGATTTATTTTTCAAACTCAAACTTTAATAATTATCGGTTCAATTCGCATGGATGTCACCTTGTAAATTCCTGCCGGTTAATAAAATCACGCGACCTTGACTCTTTGCGGTACATAAACTTTCGAACTTCGCCACTTTACCAATGTCGTTTTGACACATTTCCTACTGTCAAGATTGAAGAATTCAGCATGATTTTACCCAAGAACGACATTTTAACCACAGAGTGACAAATGCGATGCAATTCTTTGTTATGTTTCCCGATACGTAGTATTTATCAATTCACAACGTAACGTCCTGAAAAGTTGGGCCTTCTTTGCTCGAGGTTATTTATCCGATTCTATTGTATAATATGACTTAAACTTGCAACTTTTCGTAAATGTTAAATTGGCAATGCAATCAGGGGTTATTCAACGAAATTTAGCTGTTTATTGCTGCGAGCATATTTCAAAACATTTCCGAAAATCCTCAAAAAATATACGAGAAATGGTCGCGACCAACGACATGTTTGGGATTGTTCTTGTGTATCGTGTACACCCCTTTCTTGACACTTCATTTTTCCTTAAAAAAGTGCGCACTTTACGAAAATATTAACGGTAGTCGTTGGTCAGACATAAAACATCTAATTCAATCAATAGCGATTTATAATACGACAGTTTACCCCTTCGGGAAACTCAAAGGTGCCTGATTCATACTCGGAACATCTTTAGGTTATATGTAATTCCCGTGTGAAATTTGGAACGCCTTTAGGTTTTATGCTATTCCTGTTTAAAAAGGATATCGATATCTGAGTTATCCAAGAGCTTGTAATTAGCGCCTGGTATATTCCGACAGAAGCAAACACGTAACAGCCCAATACAACAGATGTCAAAATCTGGGACTGAAACCGAAATTAATAGTCCCACTGGGGTTCCCCCAGGGGTGACTAAAAATCCATATTTTGTCAAAGACACCGTTTTCAATGTTTACACTCGACTTTTTGACCATGTTACATGAATTAAGCGGGTTAATAGAACTAGTCTTGGACATAGAACCCGAGCTTGAGCTTGATAACGTTTCGATAAATACGGGCCCGTATCTATTTAAAACGGAATACAACAAAATGTAACATTTCACCTTCAACGTTTTCCTTCTTTTTCTGCTCCAACCAGAACTGATTGAAGTCCGGTGCTCCAAGCATGTTTAGCGCCCTCTGGCGTTGTTTTCTTTCCTCTCGTGTCATCTGCTTCTGGCCAAGTCTCTTCAATTTTTCAGCGGTCAGTTTGAAATCCTCGTCCTGTTCCATCTGTTTCAGTGTTTCTGGTATCAGAGACCCCTGAAAAAGAGGTGCAATTTTCAAAACGACGAAATATTGGCCCCATGACAAATGAATTTGTATGTTTTCCGTTGGCATTTACATTGTCAATGAATCCCAGCTAAACTCATTCCAATGCGGAGATTTTATTTACAAGTTTTAGAAATATGTTAACATGTTCATTTTTTATAAACCACCATTAATGAAAAGTTGATATCGTGTTTGCTTGTTCAGAAAAATATAACAACCACTTTCCAGGAAGGGTCCTGGTGTGCATATAGTACTTATGTACTTTGTTTATCCTTTAATGGGTTAATACATGTAATAAAACTCAGAAAACAAATTCCATCCCTAATCTTTACCAAGATTTGATCTTAAAGATCCCTGCCCCACTGTTGTGTCCGTGAGTTAACATAATAATGTTTTTGTAGCGCAATTAGACCTTTCTCATTTTGGGGTAGACCTAGCACGGAGCGTGGAGACTGATACTTACCTATAGCTAGACAAGCAAAATACAGGGGTCATTTCAAACTAATTGTATATGGAACGTAGCGTATAGGGTATGCCAGAGTGTGTAGACGCACATTACATGTGAGTAACTACAGGTAAGCGAACAGGTAACATGATATGGACACACAGGTAAGAAATTATGTAACCGTTAACCACGTAAAGGTTATTGCATGGTTTTCGAGTAACAAGGGATTTATTACACCCGAGCGAAGCGAGGGTGTAATAAGTCCTGAGTGACGAGAAGTCATGCAATAACTGGCTTACTGCATGCTTCCCAACTCGAACAAAATAGAAAAGTTGAGTAAAAAATGTTCACCTGGACAATCCTTTTACCTACCCTACACTGCAGATAATTTACATGTACCTATGTGAGTGAGTACTAATCATAACCAGGTAAGATTCTCAATAGCCCAGTCTGAGTGTATCCTTCATAATGGATACAAGTGTTTTTGGATTACTATCCAGGTCCAGTGTCAGGGAAGGTAAGGAGTGTCTGTTCAAAATACGGGAAACAATGTTGAATTTCTGACTACATTTTCAGTTTAATTTTCAAGATGTGGCAAAGGTACAGGATATTGAAACCATTTTCATATATACAATGTAAGGGTTTATCAATCCCTAAGGAATTCCAGTTCTTTCAATGAATGGTATATTTGAATGTGCAATTTTGTATA